CCGAATCACTGCCTCTTTTCATGCCCAGCTCGCTCCCCGCTCTCCAGAGCCTGTTGCTTGTTTCACAGATGGGCAAATGCCCCGCAGAGAATGACGGTGCCCTGCGTGCTGGATGCCCTCCACTCCTCCTCGCCTGCCTTGCACCGAGCCACCCCTCCCTGCCTCCACACCAGCTGGCCAGCAGCCCCCGGAGCCAACCGGGCACTGAGCAGCTTGGGCAGGAGCGGATCTCAACCCTTTTTCTCGAGCTGGAGGCTTTTCCCTGTGGGACCCTTTCCAGGCTGGCCCCTGCCCTCGTGGCAAAGGCTCTTTCCCACATCCTGCAGCTCGTTTTCACAGCACCCCACTGCGTCGACCAGAGCCAAGCAGCTGCTCCCCAAAATATTCAGCTGGGATCAGATCACCCTCTCCTGAGGTTACAGGCTGTATCTGCACCACGGTTTAAAGCCCAGAGCATTTGATGTTGATATCTCAGCCTTAATCAAACCCCCAGAGATACGACGGGGCTCAGCAGCACCGCTGTCAGGTCACCAGTGTCTCCAGGAGGTTGCTGGTGGAGTCTCCGGCCACAAGCCTGTCCTCACGGGGCTGAGCCGCACGGGGTGCTTCAGAACGGGGGGAGAAGGCAATGGATAAAGGTGGGAGGCAGAAATACCAGTAGTCGGCTGGCTTGGTTACCGCCCAGCAAGAGCACCCGGTGCGTTAAGGCCCTCAACACATGCTGAGCATCACAGGGAAAACCACAACGCACCCCTCCTCTGAAGCGAGGTTACCTCCCAGCTACAGACCGGTATCCAGCCGAGCGTACCCCGAGCGCGCACGTGCACGCGAAGGACGCAGGCACCAGCGCACCGCGTATTCGCGACCCCACCTCCAACGCGAGATGGGTGCGCAGGATGGGCAGCGCCTTGCCTTTGCTCTCCGCCTTGCGGCAGGACCGCGCACCAGAGCTGCTCGCATCTCACCCGCTCGGAGCAAAGGCGCTGCTCCCGCAGCCTCACACCCTGCCCCTCAGCAAGGGCACAATAAACTGCCAGCTGAGAAATAAAACCATGGGAGGAGGAAGGAGTGTTTGGGCATTTAAAAGGGTCTTATTGGCTCACTGCCACCTTGCATTCTGCTCTGCCTGTGAGAAAGCAACTGTGTTAGTAAGAATTCAGGGAAATGCGCACAGAGCTCACGCCAGAGCTGGGAATAGCCTTCCTGGAACATACGGGCAGGGAAAGGCTCAGATGTACCCATGGGCTGGCTTCGGAGAGCTTGGTCTTCAGGGACCACGGTATCTGGGTCCGACAGCAATGATCAGACTTTGCATTCTCACTTAAGCAAGCGCCGAGAGCGACAGGACTTTCCGGTGACTCAGAGCACATGCAGGCAAGAAGGGCTACGAGTTGCATCATTCATTCACAGGGGTCTAAGAGCTTGCTACGGCCACAGCACAACAGCCGTACACATCGGGCTGAGAGGATTTAATTGACCGTATATTACTCAGCTAAAGGCTGCTTGTAGGGGATCTTTAGGCAGGGAAGAGCAAAGGCAGTCCCACTGCAGCAGTCTGCATGTCCCAGAACATGATGCCTGCTTTCAGGATCATTGGCTCCCCCCCAAAACCCCTAGGATCTGGTGTCATCTCAATACAAGAGCATTTAAAGCTTGGAGAAATGACAGAGTTGGAGGTCTTCGCAAAGAAAAGCACGTGATCATCGGATCCTACAAGAACAAAAGCCAGAAGTAAATATGGGATTTCAGATTCACTTTCTTCTGTATCATGTCTTTCAATCCCCTTTGGTGCTTTGGGGGTGTCTGGGCATTTGGAGCAGGTGAGACCGACATGACCCTGAGCTGTCTTTGCTGGGAAGGACACCCCTGCGCCGGCGGGCTCTCACGCAGGTCACAGGACAGCACGAGCTGGGCTTTGGCTGACCTGCTTCGGCACACAGCCAAAAGCAAGCAGTGAGGAACCACACTGACAAACCTGCCACGCCGCCTCCCCCAAATTTAACCGCCTGTCCCTCCACCCTGTGCTGTTCAGGGGAGATATGGTGCATCTAATTAGAAAGACACGGCGTGCCCGGGCTTGGAGGCTTTTCAGCATCAAGCAGCAGGCCAGCACTATCGGTGCTTTGCAGGGTCACAGCTCTGTCAGCTTGTGGCAAGGTTGCGATATATCTGCCCCAACCAGTATGCTAAAAGAGACATTGTCCAGATATAAAGGGGAGGAGAAAATAAAGGTTAGCAAGGTCAACTTACAGTCTGTCTGTGCTACACAGGGTGGTGAGGGGGAGAGAAGAAAACACGGTGAAATATCAGTAACACAGATCACAATCCGTCTGCTAAAAACACCTCTGGTGAATCCTAATGGGGAGGACAGGGAGGGAACCGAGGATCCAGGATTCACTTCGACCAGCCATTATGCTAAAAATAAAACTCTCCTTGTTTACAGAGGGATATTTAAAGGATGAGCTAACGCATCTAAAAGCACACTTTTCCCGTTAGCAAAGACAGCCCTTAGAGGTGTGACAGTGACATTCCCTGCCCCGTTTAGGCATTCTGTTTCTTTGACAATAGCTGCTTCAGCCTCCCCATTAAATACTGACTTACTCGGGACTGGTTTTCATGTTCTGGTTCTGTACGGAGTCTGCTAGACGGACCGTGGGATGGCGGTGGTGTACATAAAAGGCAAAAGCTTTCTACAGAGTCCAAAACTGAAAAGCAACGGAAGTGTCTGTATTCAGCCCTTAAAAACATATCGGTGCCAGATAAACAGGCTCTGTAAAAATAAGAAAACACTTCAGGCAAGAGACTCTGGGAAGCTGAGAGCTTCCTCCACGCCAGTCGTGATTCAGAGCTCTTCAAGTCACAATCTCCCTGGTTTGCTTTTCCCACCATGTAATATTTGTCTGTCCTAAAGGAGTGTGGTGGAGTTACTACACTTGAATGCTTTCAACATAGGAAGGGCTAAAAAAAACCCCAACCCCCAGCCTCATGGACCAGAAAGAATCCTACAGACACCAAGATGAGAAGACAGATCGAGTAGATTTTCAGTAAAACTCCAAGATGAATTCCAGTGGTTGCTCAACTTCTCAGGAGACCAGAGGGCTAGGGTTTCTTAAAGCAGAAAGTTTTATGTCTTTGATCCGAGACGCTACCCTGCAACACAGGGGCTGTGGGACGACTCCTGGCACCGCTCCGTTCACCTCGGATGAACTGCTCCGCATGAAGAACGGGGGAAAGCTGCACAGCCACAGCTTTACTATAAATCAGGGCAATGATACAATGCAGGGAAAGATCAGACGGCACTGCCCTAATTCCTGCAGCACCCTTCCTAAGGCTACAGCCGCTGGCCGTTGTCAGAAGCCAGCTATGCAGCGAGGCAGACCTTCAGCGTGACCCATCGGGGCCGTTCTTGGGAATCATTCTAGGAATGAGGATTTCAGCATGACCTGACGTGACACAGTCTGTCTGATCCAGCAGCCCCTCTCCAAAAGCTTGACATAATTGGGATAATAGGAGCTAGAAAGCTGCAGTGATTGCAGATGTCAGAGGGGGGTACTTTTATTTATTTACTTCATATGTCTGGCAGAAGTAGGGAAGATACTGGGTTGTGACTGCTGTGGAGAGAACATGCTCACAAGGTGCCGTTCACCCCTTCATCTCTTCTGGTGACTGCTCTAGCCTGGCCAAGGGTGAGCGTCATTTCAAGACTCTCAAGCCACCCCTAAGAGGGGAATCCAGAGGCTTTCAAAGAGAAGTTTGGCTTTGTAAAGACAACAGCGGGTCCACCTCCAGTTATTTACTCTGTGCGAGCAGTCCCAGCTGGCTTCAGGCATGTCACTTAACCTGCTCCGCGGGCGCTCACCTGCAGAGTCAGGTAGTTTCGCCATTACTGATAGAAACCAAGGATAAACTGACTAATCCAACAGAGGACCCAGAACCTCGCCCCCCCCGCGGTTCACATTTTATGGGAACA